AAAAAAGAAAAGGAAACAGAAAATAAGTATAAAAATAATAATGAATTACAATGTAGTAATAATGGATATAAGATAAAGTAAAATGGAAAAAAGGGGAAATAAAATAAGGAAAATTAATAACAATAAGAATAGAAAAATGTAGAATAAAATCAGAGAGAGAAAATTAGAGATATTCAAGAAAAAAAGAGAAGAAAAAAAGGGGGAAAAACAAATGACAAAAAAACAAAAACAAAAAATCCACTCATACATACATAGACCAAAAAAACAATACTGCACACTCTCATACACTGAAAAACCTTTGCGTCCACTATTTGTGGAGCTCACTGGATTTTGCTCTAATGTTGCTGAATCTGGTCCTTTGGTGTATCTATCCTGGGCTCTCTGAAAGCTTCTCTTGTGCAGGTCAATGTGAGTTACTGTCTCTTTCTGGCCCTGGGCAACCTGATTGATGTCTGAGCTGAGCCCATAGTAGTTCAGTGGGCACAGACTCCTTAGCCCAGATGCTGGGTCTGCCTTGAGTGTCACACTTTGTCTCTGTTCTAAGCTGTACTCCCTTCCCCCATGGAGCTGGGCTCTATGTGATATCCTGGTCTTGGCTGGGATGGCTTGATCAAAGTCATGTTGGGAGTGGTGCCAGTGACTTGTAGGAGGGTTGCTAGGCCCTTCCTCTCCTTATAATGCCTCAGCTCTGTCTGGTTTGCTGGCACCTCCTCTCTGTCACCTGCAGGGGCACAGATTTTCTGCCCCTGGGTGTTTCCCCTTGCCTCATGTAGCTACAGGGTTAGTGTTAGGTTTAGGGTTAGGGTTAGGATTAGGGTTAGTTTTGCCGGTGGGAAAGAGGGGACCTCCCCTGTGTTCCAGGTGGGCAGGGCTGATCTTCCTAACCTACTGTCCAGTCCCCTTTCTGCTCACACACACAAGTTCCTCCAAGAAATAGAAGGCCCCCCAAATTCAATGTTGGGTGTGTCTTTCAGATCCTTCCAATGTAGGCTGGCCCTGAGCTCCACTGCGTGGCCCTTCCCACTGGTCAGGAGGAGCTCCCCAGGCTGCACTATGGCAGGGTGCTAGTGCGACTCTATCCAGGGACTTCAGCCCCAGGCTTCCACTGCTGCACCCACTCCACAGTCTCCACAGCCAGTGCCCTTGAGGCCTCCTCTCTCAGTCCCAGGCCCTCCTGTCTCACCTACAGATCTGCAGCCTCTTTAATCTCCACAGGTCCTCAGTTCTAATAGGTCCATGTCAGGGGAGGCTACATCCACCTCCCACCCTACAGCACAGTTCCTGCCCCTGAGCTGTGGTGATGGAGCTGAGAAGCTGGGCTCTAGAGTGGTGGTGGCAGCACAGTAGCGGTGGCAGTTGTTGAGTACACAGCAGGGACAAGAGCCCTGCTGGGTCAGTGGCTCAATGGCAGTGGCACAATGTCTAGGCTGGGTCCCGTCAGGTGCACGGTTTCAGGCTGGCTGAGTCCAGATGGTGGTAAGGCTTTGTGCCTAGCTGCTGCTGCTCTCTGCAGCCTCTTCCTACGTACAACCTTATAAACCTTTCAAGGTGGCATGCTCTCCAAGCTGGAGCTGTGCCTAGGGAGTAGCTGTGACGGTAGCAGAGACTTTTTGGCCAGGAGAGCCCGAATCGTCTGCCCCCAAGGCTCCCGGGCGATCCATCGATCATACTTTCTCTCACACACACAAACACACTCACTCCCTTACTTACTCACATTCTCTCCCTCACTCCAAACATACTGGCCACCATGTTTCTTCCTTCGAGTATTGAGAAAATATTTCTTGAGTCACTTTTCAGGTGCTGATGCAACAATGAGGTTCTTTTATGGTCTGCAAGAAAATGAAGCCCTTGATGTTATGTCTTCTCTTCCCATCATCTCCTAGATGATCTGCAGTGTCCTGCAGTCACAGGGAGATGGTGACATGACTCTTATGAAGTCATTTTAGACCAGGGGTGGGCAAACTTTTTGACTCGAGGGCCACAATGGGTTCTTAAACTGGACCGGAGGGCCGGAACAAAAGCATGGATGGAGTGTTTGTGTGAACTAATATAAATTCAAAGTAAACATCATTACATAAAAGGGTACAGTCTTTTTTTTTAGTTTTATTCATTTCAAACGGGCCGGATTCGGCCCGCGGGCCGTAGTTTGCCCACGGCTGTTTTAGACCCTGAGTGATGTGTATCTGTTCTATTTTTCCAAGTACATCAAGGGAACCCTAGCCAGTTTGGCTCCATGGTTAGAGCATAGGCCCGCGGACTGAAGGGTCCTGGCTTCAATTCCAGTCAAGGGAATGCACCTCGGTTGCAGGCTCAATCCCTGGCCCTGCGTCGGGACCTGTGTGGGAAGCAATCAATTGCTGTGTCTCTCTCTGTCTCTCCCCGTTCCTTCCACTCTCTCTCTCTAAAAATCAATGGAAAATATCCTCTGGTGTGGATTAACAAAAAATAAACAAAAATGGACATTCTGGCTATGTCATTCTGTGTAAAAATCAGTCACAGTCTCCTGCCTGTCAGTGTCTCTGAAGTGTCAGCATTTACTTGTATTTGAGGAAGAATGAGCTTTAGCATTCATACTACCAGCTTTGATATCTAAAAAATGAGTAATGCCTTTTCTCCAGTGCTTTGGTCTTCAAAAATGATGGGCCTTGTTGTTGTTTTTAATGTATTCAGGCACATGATCATTTCTAGCATTGTCCATAAATAAAATGAATCATTTCTACATTCCATATTTTATGTCAACCAACATAATAAGGATTTATTGAATAACTATCATATATTGAACACTGGCCTAGGTAGATACTCAGATAAAGCTAACAGTTTTGAGCACTTACTATGTGCCAAGCACTGGGCTAGCCACTATGTATACACCTGTGTGTGTCTGTTAGTCTTTATATCACTCTGTAAATGTGCTCTATATTATGATGTATTTATTATGAGTATGTAAGTCATCAAGATTATCATTGAGGACTCTGCTATTTTGGTGTTGATGACTATACTGGAAAAGGTTATAAGTTTAATACTGAATTGGTCATCTTTCTCCTCTACATACACTTCATCACTAAGGCCTCAGGGAGCTCCAAGTTAGTAAGGGATAGAGTTATACTCCTGTGTATGTTGCCTGGGCTCTTTCCACCAGACTTGGCACCTTCATAGAGGGTCAAGAGCTGAAATTCAAAGAGGCTTATATATCCTATATAATAAATGCTCAGCAACCGAAACGGCGGAATGACCAGAGACCAGAACAACCATGGCTCCTCGCCCCGGCTGGCCTCACCCCCCGTGGAGACCCCCCACCCCAATCAGGGGCGTGGCCAGCCTGAAAACTGCCACGGACCCTTGCCCCACCCGGCCCCAACCCCCAGCAGGGAACCACACCCCAATCCGGGCAGGCTGGTTGGCCCCCACCCGTGCACTGGGACTCTATCCTATATAATAAAAGGATAATATGCAAATTGGCCCTAACAGCAGAATGACCAGAATGACTGCTCAACCAGTCACTATAAGGAGCACTGACCACCTCTTGGTATCTTTCCCCGGCTGGCAGGCTCCGATCACCTGATGGCAAAGAGGGAACTGGGGGTGGGTGGCGGCAGGGGGCAGGTCTGGCTGCGGGCACCCAGGGAAGATGGCCCTGATTGCAGGCCAGGCCTAGGGACCATACCTGCGCATGAATTTTGTGCGCAGGGCCTCTAGTCTAATAATAAAAGCATAATATGCTAATTAGACCAGATGTAGCTTCCAGACAAAGCCTGGGCTAGGAGGGAAGCCCGGGTACCAGGTGCCTGCCAGTGGCCAGAGGGAAGCCCGGGTCCTAGGTCCCAGTGGCTGGAGGGAAGCCTGGGTCCAGGGTGCCAGAGGGAACCCGTGCCGGCAGCCAGGGGAAGGAAGGCCTACTCTTGCATGAATTTCATGCATCAGGCCTGTAGTATTTATATAATACAGATTCTATACTACACAATACATTTCTACTAACTTACTGACTAAAGCATCCAAGAAAACATAAATCTGTGGTATATAGAAAATGCTATTGGTCTTAAGTTTGTTCTCAGTATTCCAGTTAAGATTGACAGTGCTTCTCCTTTAGTGTGGAGTCAGCTGAGGGGCAGTGGCCTTGAGAAGGAGATGAGTGGGCAGAAGCATCTATTTGAGGAGAGTTAACCTGAGTCTTTTTTTCTGAGAGTTGTATTTCCTCAGGGGCAGTAGCATAGTGGTAGAAATTAGCATGGGGTATGTGTGTTTGAGGGAAATGGAGAGGGGAAGTGCAGCAAGAATTTGGCACTTACAGGGGAAGGGGTAGGAGAGGTTACATGAATTTGGAGTTATGAAGGACTTTGACTACAGTATCTTGACTAATTTATGACAGCTTTAATCCAAATCTATATTCTAAAGTGAAATAATAGATAAACACATTTAATTTTTTAAACACTGATGGAAACAAAAAGAGAATTCTGGTTCCCTCAGGGTTTCCAGAAAATCAGCTTTAGACGGAATTCTACCCCCTACCATATTGCCTTTATCTCTTCAAAATTTAATCCAAAATACTGCTTTCTCAAGCATATTGACTGAGAATTTACTACTGAACTTTCCTAATTCTTAATTATTGCCATTAATTCTACTAGTACTGACAACCAAGATAGCTTGACCTCTCTGAGCATCTGCAAAATGGTGATTGTAGTGCCTGTCACTGGGTTAAGGACCAGATAATTTGTGTACGTCAAGTGGTTACCTCAGTTCCTGGCACATAATAACATGGCTTTGGCTTTGGAGTCAGACAGACCTGAGTACTGACCTGTGTTCTGTTCCTACCTATGGGACTTTGGGCAAGTTACTTAAGTTTTTGTGCCTTAATTCCCTTATCTGCAAAATGGATCCATACCTCCTAAGATTTTTGCAAGAGGTAGATTAGTACTAATATGGTAACAGAAGCAAAAATAAGCGTTTTAAAATTTTTGGTTTTCATTATTTTAAAAAATTTTTTTTTGCCTTCTCATCTCTTTTAGGTCCTTCCAACTGCACAGTTTGCCAGTGTCTCAGCTATACTTGCTCTTCCAAACACTATGCAATCTATACTGCAAAACCAAAGACCTGAAGTAAGTTGAAATTTCCTTCAAACTCTTAGGAGTTCAACTCCTAGCTGATTGGACCTGAAAACAAAGTATAACTAGTGCTCAATTTCTCCATAGAAGTACAGCAAAAGAAAAGACGTGCTGAGCCTAGGAGTAGGGAATGAGGTACAGATCCCTGCCAGCCCCTCCTGCCTCTTTCCCGTTTGCATGTGCTGTTTTTGCGGTAGTCAGTGGGTGGCAATCTGTAACTCCTAAGAGACTGGTGCGATCCTGGACTTACTTCCTTTTCCTTCGAGACTCCCACTGTCTTCCCCCTTGGTTTTCTTTCAGTTGTGTCCTGTCCACCTCCATGCAACTTGATAATCCTTTTCTCTCCCTGAACCGTTCCCCTGCTGTTATTCCCCAAAGTGCCACTGCTCAGAAGCCTCCACCTCTGCCCTGATCTTTTGTCCTCACTCACTTTCAAGTGCCTTGTCTTGTTATCTGTCCATGTCACTAACACACAGGCATGAGCCCCCTTGGTTTCCCACCACCTCGCCACACAGATCAGTGTGTGCTCTCCTTCCTTTCTGCCCCAAAAGAAGAGATGGCCTTTCTAAACCTACTCATGCCAATAAATTCATTTCCTTTTTCTGCATTTTTGTGAACATTTATTTCATTTTACACAGCACAGAAGTACCTGAAGATATACAATTCCTCCACCCTAATGCCTTACTGTAACCAACCCCAATGCACCCTATAACCCCCGCACCCATCCACTCCTACTTTCCATCCCCTGACTCTGATCCCAGTCTCCCTAGGTAATACCTTGTTTGCTACGTCTTTTTTTTTTTTTTTGCTTATTCAAATATAAATCTGTAACATAAGGCACACAAAACATCTATTAATATACATAGCATACATATACACAATACTTTTGGGGGTTTTGTTTCACAAAAAACAAAATTGACCTTTCATATATTTTTGAACAGTAGAATAGATAGTCCTCCAATACAGTAGGGCAGGATCTGTCCCAATCTTTTATATATTTCTTGTGTTTTCAAGCTTTCTTCAGCTGTCTCCTTCCCCATGGCTCCAGTTTCTCCCATAGTCAAAAGAACCCTCTCTCAGCTATGTATCTCACATCACTCCTTCCCTTCACAGCCAGGAGTCCTTGAAGAGCCCCCTTCACTGACTGTACTTCCTTACTTCCTGCTCCCTCTCTCCTCAGTGCTGTCAGTTTGGCTTCTGCTTCTCCCCCACCCAGATTTGCTCAAAGATCAAAAGTGAATGCCAGACCCAATGAACACTTTTTACCTCCTGTCTTACAGGCCCCCTGCAGCCCTGGGCACCGCTGACTTGCTCCCCTGGCACTTCTCTTCACCCTATTCTGAATACTTTTAAGTATTTCATTGCCTCCATGGTTGCTCGTGAGGAACAATTTTACCCACCAGTGGACATGTGGCAATTATCTCGAAACATTTCTGGTTGTCATAACTTGGGGGATGTGCTACTGGCATCAGGGTAGAAACCAGGGATTCTGTCAAACATCCTACAGTGTACCAGCCATTTGCAACATAGAATTATCCAACTCCAAATGTCAAGAGTGCTGAGTTTGGGAAGCCCTGCCCTAGAAGGATATAAACAAGCCCAAGGTTATTTCTGATAAGTACAAGCTAGGTATCTTGTCCCCAATTCTGATGGTTATCCACACTTGCCCCAAAAGGAAATAGCCCAGTCACATGCAGCTGCTGCAGAGATGTCGCAGGGCCATGACAACTTCAGTCTCTAGGTCCATGGTGGCCAGGTGATGTCCTGGGCTCCTCCTGGTGTCTCAGTCTGGTGTGACTCCTCACCATCCTTCCACCTGTGGGCTAAACTATGCATTTAGTCATTCTCAACAAAGCTTATTGCCATGAAAGGTAGAGAGGAAGACCATCTCCCCCCTCCCTCTTTCCTGTCACCCCCTCTCTTTGGAATTTAATTTCCCACTGGGATATGTTCTATTCCACATTTCTGAATTCACTGAGGGATTTGTACCCAAATTCCCCTCCCAAATTTATTCTGGTGGTGGGTTGGGGGGACAGGATCCCTCAGGATGGCACCATACTTTGGTCAGTGGTATAGACCAGCAAACCCTCTGTACACTACAGTTGCTGACTCACCTTGGCAGTGGCTTTTGTTCCACGTTCACATTTGATTGTCCCCAGTTCTGCTCACTGGGAACTGGGGAGGATTCTCTTGTCATGGGCTGAATAGTCACAGCAGTCCTTCTCGACTGTAGCTGGTGTGGTGTCTTCTGTAGATAGCCCTGAGGGATTCTCTTAGGGGTGGCAAATCTCTACTGTTGTAAGCCCGGGGCGGGGGTGTAAACCCCAGGCCTGTTTTGATTATTTCTTCTGATATAACTCACTCAGAACATGAATGAGCTTCTTGTTCAGTTCATCCCTGGATACTCTTGGGAGCAGGAATCCCAACTACCCATCAATCACTGAGGTATCTCCCTGGCCAGTTCTGACATTTTCTTTGACAGTCTGTGGTTTGTCACTGCTCTTCTGGTGCCAATTTCTGACTTTGAAATAATCTGGTTCCACAGAAGAGTAAGCAGCTCCAGTTAGCTTAAAGAAAAAGGGATCTGGGTAGAGTGGATTTTTACAGAGCACAATGGCAGGAAGTGGAAAAATGGTTGGGCCTCCACTCTTTTATCTCCAGGGTCTCAGGATCAACTTTTCTCTGCTTCTCTGTGCCTCTTTTCTCTGGGATGTCATACTGGTGTCTTCTAAGACACTTGGCCTCTGTAAAGCACATGGCTCTGCTTTCCCCTTAACCAGAGCCAGGCCTTGGCTGAGGCCCCCATGTCCATGGCTCTGACCTTGGCCTCAACTCCAATTGACCCACTGCTTCACTGCCCAACACCATCCTGACTATGAAATCTGTCTCTCTTCTGATTCTCTAGTGTGACAATCTGTTTGGCTCAGGATGGGTCAAATGTCTACTCCTGCTGCAATAATCTAGAGCAGGGGTGGGCAAACTTTTTGACTCAAGGGCCACAATGGGTTCTTAAACTGGACCGGAGGGCTGGAACAAAAGCATGGATGGAGTGTTTGTGTGAACTAATATAAATTCAAAGTAAACATCATTACATAAAAGGGTACGGTCTTTTTTTTTTTTTTAGTTTTATTCATTTCAAATGGGCCAGATCCGGCCCGCGGGCCGTAGTTTGCCCACGGCTGATCTAGAGCCTCGGTAGGGAGGGAGGGGTAACCAGGTCCCTCAGATACTAGGGTGGGGGAGAGATACATACAAATAAACAGCACTTCTGGGGTGTCGAATACTTATGCTCTGGAACAGCCGTCGCCAACCTTTTGGACCTCACGGACCACCAGTGGTCCGCGGACCAACAGTTGGTGGACGCTGCTCCAAAGGTTTCCTTAAACCAGCGGTCACTAACCTTTCGGACCTCGTGGACCACCAGTGGTCTGCAGACCACCGGTCGGTGACCGTTGCTCTGGAACACAAAGAGGATCATCAAAGCATTTCTCTCCCACCTCCCGCCCTGCCTCCCTCCAACTCCACTAGTCTTGTTCTCCCACTCATTCCCTTACCCCCACTCAACACAGCCCCTCCCCCCACCAAATATTGATATCCCTTTGGGATATATTTCTGTTATATTTCACATTTCTGAATTTAAGGGTTCTGTAACCAGGTGCCCCTCCCACAGTGGTAGCAAATTTCCCTCCCTGAAAAATTCACAGGGTTACACCAAAAGCAGTTCCAATCCCCGGGCCTGTGAGATGCTGGAGGTCTTCTCAGCTGTTGGGGCTCAAAGGCTCTCTGGTCTCTTTGGGGTTCTTGAGGATCTGTTCCCTGGGCCCCCACCATAGAGGGGCCCCAGTAGGCAGCCTGAGGTGGAGCTCCTGCTGTGAAGGCTGCCCATGGTGGGGATGGTGTGGGTGCTTCTGGGAAGGGAATAAGGGGCATTAGAATGAGTATGTGAATGAGGCAGGGAGCTAGACAGGAAGGGTTGCTTGTGAAACTGTGGCCCTAGGCTTGAGAGTCCCAGAAAAATAAAGCATGGCTGTTTCTACTGATCTGAGATGTCCCTGCCTCTGCCTGCCATAAGTGTACGTTTTCTGCTCCACAAAGCTGCAGGAGGCCTCCACCCTCTATACCCCCTCTGCATCCTTCTGTCTTCCTCCTTCTACAGCAGCAGTTAGCAGTAGTAGTAGCTACAGCAACCTCTGCCTTGTTTTCTCCTCACCTGCTCCTTTTGCCCCAAACACACTGGTAGTAGCCAGGCCTGGCTCCTCTGAAACCTGCTGCCATTCCCAGGAAGACACCATCTCCTGTAGAGAAGTGGGCAGGGTTAAATTCCATTCAGGGGGTGGAGGGGCTGGGAGGGAAGATGGGGTAGTACCAAGTGGGGTAATCTTACAGCCTGGAGAAGCTTCCACCTCAGCAGTTCCTTCTCTTTCTGAACCTCAGCCAGTTTGGCCAGCGTCAGCTGCAGCTGATAGGCTGCCTCTTTGCACTCCATTTCGTGCTTCGCGGTAAGCTCCTTCATGTTGGAGGCCAAGGCTTGTAAGGCCGATTTGTGCAGTTTGGTGAAGTCTTGTAGCCACTGCACCCTGCAAGCGTGTAACTGGCCCTGCCTGCGGGCACAGCGCACGCCCAGGGCCAGGCTACCCCAGGCGCAGGCCTCTTTGGCCTCGCTGGTCACTGCGCTGTTCTCCAGGATAGCCCTGAGCTTGTCTTCCACCTCCGCCCAGGACAGGGATATATTCTCCAGGTAGAACTCAGGGCCTTTTATGTGTCTGGACATTTTCTCGTTGATGAAAGCCACCACATTGCCATGCTGGAACCCAGCAGAGGGGTCCTCGGGTCTCAAGGCCATGATAGCAGAAGGCCTTAGGGGCCTGGCTGCACTGCAGGGATAAATCAACTAGTTGTTTCCTCGGTTAGGGCCTCCGCTTTTCGTTAGCCCCTCCCCCAAGGCTCTTCCCATCCCCTT